TTTTTTATTTTCTTTTTAAGTGCTTTCTTTTTAAAGTCACTGCTTTTAATCCTATGACATCTTGGCTTAGCACCTGTAGTGCAGTGGTTAGGGCACCACCCACATATACTGGGGCTGGCAGGTTCGAACCCAGCTCAGGCCTGCTAAAAAACAGTGACAACTGGGTGGCACCTATGGCTCAAAGGAGTGGGGCACCAGCCCCATATGCCAGAGGTGGCAGATTCAAACCCAGCCTCAGCCAAAAAATGAAAAAAAAAAAAGAAAGAAAGAAAAACAATGACAGCTACAAGAACAACAACAAAAATAGCCAGGCTTTGTGTCGCGTGCCTGTAGTCCAGCTGCTTGGGAGGCTGAGGCAAAAGAATCCCTTATGCCCAAGAGTTGGAGGTTGCTATGAGGTGTGACCCCATGGCACTCTACCCAGGGTGATATAGTGAGACTTTGTCTCAAAAAAAAAAAAAAAAATCCTGACATCTTTGTTTGAAACAAAGTTTACAATTTTATGTTTACATTTATCAGTCTTTTCTGTACATATTTGTGTTTTGTGGCTCTCATTCCCTACCTCAGTGGTTCTCACTTGGGAGAGATTTTGCTCCCAGGAGCCATTTTACATCTGGAGACAGTCTTTGGTTTTCTAATTGGGGTGGTGGTGCTACTGGCATCTAGTGGATAAAGCCAGGGACGCTGCTAAACGTCTCGCACTACATGGGAAAGCTCTCCACAACAGAGCACTGTTCTATCTTAAATGTTGACTATGCTGAGGTTTAAAAATCCTGCTGTAAAGTTTTCTCCTATAACTGTATATTTTCTCCCAGATATTCATGTTAAAGGACTAGTTTGAATTTTTTTTTTAATTCCTCTGGAATTGTGTGCATGTGTGTGATTGTTGTTTTCTAAACAATGTCGCTTCAAATATGACCTATTTAGTCCATTGGTTAGCTGTTAATTTGAAATGCCACATTTATCATGTGCTAATTTCTCATACATAGGGTCTCTTTCTGGACTCTCTTCTGTTCTATGTCCTAATTTTCTCTTTTGCTGAACTAGTACCACTATGTAATCTTTGTCAAATTGTGCGTTATACTTCAATATACTCTATATAACAGGGTAAATATTCTCTCATGATTATTATATTTTGGAAGTCATATTCTCTGTTAGCTCATGTATGTTATTTAAAATTAATATTCTCATATATCAGTAGTCTTTTTCACACTAATTTTAGAATCAGTTGTCAAAATAGTTGTTTTTATTAATTAATTAATTAATTAATTTTTTTGAGACAGAACCTTAAGCTATTGCTCTGGGTAGAGTGCTGTGGCATCTCAGCTCATAGCAAGCTCCAACTTCTGGGCTCAAGTGATTCTCCTGCCTCCGCCTCTCAAATAGCTGGGACTATGGGTGCCTGCCACAATGCCCAGCTATTCTGTGGTTGCAGCCATCATTGTTGTTTTGGCGGTCCAGGCTGGGGATTCGAACCCGCCACCTTAGGTGTACGTGGCTGGCGCCTTAGCCGGTTGAGCTATAGGCGCCGAGCCGACAGTGTGGACATTTAATAAAGCCTAACTGCCTATCATGTACAGTATATAACAATGTCTGTTGACTCCATTCTCTTTTAAACATTTGATGGTATCAGTCTTATTTGTTTATTTTATTTTATTTTATTTTTTGAGACAGAGCCTCAAGCTGTCACCCTGAGTAAAGTGCTGTGGCGTCACAGCTCACAGCAACTTCCAACTTCTTGGCTCAAGTGATTCTCTTGCCTCAGCCTCCCAAGTAGCTGGGACTACAGGTGCCTGCCACAATGCCTGGCTATTTTTTGATTGTAGTTGTCATTGTTGTTTGGCAGGCCCGGGCCGGATTTGAACCTGCCAGCTCTGGTGTATGTGGCTAGCACCTTAGCTGCTTGAGCTACAGGCACTGAGCCAGTCTCTTATTTTTGTGAATATAGTGGCTAGTAATGGTTCCTCATTGCTGGTTTATTTGTTTGTTTGTTTTGAGACAAAGTCTTACTGTGTCACCCTTGGTAGAGAGCTGTGACATCACAGCTCACGGCAACCTCAAACTCTTGGGTTTAAGTGATTCTCTTGCCTCAGCCTCCCAAGTATCTGGGACTACAGGCACATGCCGCAATGCCCGGCTATTTTCTTGTTCCAGTTGTCGTCGTTTAGCTGGCCCAGGCTGGGCTTCAACCCACCAGCCTCTGTGCATGTGGCTGATGCTGTGACCACTGTGGTCCAGGCACCGAGCCACCTCATTGCTGTTTTAATTCGTACTCCCTTACTAGTGAAATTGAACATTTTTTTGTTATTTTTGACATCTGTATTCCCCCTTTTGAGAACTGTTTTTTTATATTATATTATCTGTCTCTTTTTTTCCTTCATTTTTGTGTCTTTTTTTTTCATTTTTGGATTGTCTTTACCTTATTGATTTATAGTAGGTTTCTTTGGGGGGGGTTAGATTTTTATTTATGTATCTATTTACTTTTGAGACAGGGTCTTGCTCTGTTTCCTAATCTGGAGTGCAATGGCTTGATAGCTCATTGCAACCTCAAACTCCTGAATTCAAGCAGTCCTCCCATGTTGGCTTCCCAAAATGCTAAGATTATAGGTTGGAGCCATGGTGCATTAATGTTACATGCCTGCATTATGTTACATGCCTGTATACTCTGGATTTAATCTTTTGTAATTTATATATGTTTTAAATATTTACTCCTGGCTGGGCGCCTGTGGCTCAGG